AAGAAAGAAAGAAAGAAAGAAAGAAAGAAAGAAAGAAAGAAAGAAAGAAAGAAGAAAGGAAAGAAAGAAAGAAAGAAAATTTGTGCATTTCCTTGCCAAATGTTTCACACCACTTTCTGGAAGCATTGGGGAAATGGAATGTTCTGAATTATAGGACAGCACAGCATAGCTCTACATTGATATTATCTTCTGGTCCAGAAAAGAATATACATTATTGTAGATATCATGGATTGATAATGGCTGAAGGGATACAGACAGTAAATTGAGAGCATTGAAATTGATCAAATTTATGGGGTAGATGATAAGAAAAAGAGATTAAAAAGTTATTAAAGAAAATGTAATAAAATAAAAACTGAATATTGATTCACAAATTTAGTTCATAGAGGGAATCTATTACTGTAACTATATACGTGACATTCAGCTTTCCTGGCTTGAAAACATTTATGGTCTCTCTTATGTATTTGATGTTTATAGTCATAGACTTCCCATAGCACATAAACAGGTAAACCACATACTATTTAATTGACCCAAATATCTCATAAGGCTTTGCAGGTCAGAAACCATAAGTTTACTATGCAACAATAAACAAAGCAATTGTCTCCACCTGAACCGATATTGACAATACATTGGGCCAATTCTGTCTTCTTTTTCTGTGGCATAGATGGAAATACCACTTTATATATAGCTAATGCTAGTAGTTTGAAAAGAAAGCACCATTCTCGGAGAAAGGAGAGTAATGTTAACAAACATTAGTCTGAGAAGTACTGCTTTTCACATGCAGAAGCTTTATTCTCGCAAAAGATACTTATCTGTATTTCAGACTTTCTCTTTTGGAGTATATTTGTATTGAATATATAATAGTAATTAGTGGCTTTGAATATATTCTGTCACTTGGAACCAATTCACATATACATATATTGAAGGAATCCCTATAACTTTATAAGAGAGGCTTGAGAAGTGAAATAGCTTTGATGTCCTATGGTTTCCTCAAACTGAGTATTTTATATGCAAATAGAAGCGGAGAGCACATGTTTAGGGTTATCAAACCCAATGCAAACTGTGCTTTTATGTTGCATAGAAGTGAAATGCTAGCCATTGCAGTTTTCTAATATTATTACAAAATTTGGCAGAGATATTATTCCCTCAGCCCAAAGTTTGGAAGTGGCAAATTTGAGAGAGATTAAAAATACTGATTCTGTAGTTCCAATTCCTATCCTTTCCATTTTATGTTCCATCACTTTGCCTTCTGTATGCAGACAAATGATTTAGAGCTGAAATGTTATGTTTTGCCTCCAGGTTTTGGCATTAATTAGAAAGCAGCTGAATCTGTTTGTAAAGCTACTAAAACCCTATCAAAGTATTGTAGAACAAAGGTGTGTGTTTTCTTTTTGCAGTGCTGATATAAGGATGTGTGGCATGAATATAAGAACAGATATCTCTTTCCCAGGTAAAGTAGTTAATGCAAGGTAGGACCAGGGTCAGCTCCCAAGGCAAATTCCCAGAATTAATAGAAGAACTTCACCAACCATATGAATTCAACTGTGCAATAAATAATGCAGCAATCATACTGCATATTTTACTTCAGTTAGCAAAATATTCATGTCGGTAATTACATAGTATGAAGCCATACATTTTTTTCTGCTGGATGTTCCTCTAACTCTGTTTAGAGCAGTGATACAATTCAATGGTTTGATGGCTGAGTTGTGATGAAAATTCTTTAGATGCCCATTCAGTTGTGAAGTACTGAATTGGGGGGGGGGGGTTAGGAGATACCATTTTATGTTTTTAAACTCAATTCAAGGCATCATAATGGCTTATTGTTATTCCTCTTGGTCAGGAAACTATTCTTGTTTCTAAACAAAGAATAATAAATAGGTTTTTTTCTGCTGCAAACATTACTTGGGTACCAGAATAACTTTGGACTGGGCAATGAATAATAAAATGAACAGCTGTAGCAATGTACAATAATGTACAAAGTCAATATAAATTTTACTGAAGAGGGGTAGTTTGATAGAAAACATTATGCAAATATTGGTAAAAGAGTATTGAATAGTACTTAGTTTGAAACAAATATTTGCCAAAATAAGAAAAAAATGAGTGTAGAAGTATGTTTCTGCCCAATTTGCTACATGGAAGTGAAAGTTGGATATGTGAGGACAAACATAAAGGGAAATTGAATAGAGGTGGAAATGATTGAATTAAGTTTGCATGAGTAAACAGGAAAAGATAGGATCAAAATGAATGGGTGACAAATGTGGATTGAATGTTGTGCAAATGTGAGTGACTAATATGAAGGAAGTCCATTGATGTGGTTTGTCTAAGAATAAATGAGGTTCAAATCACAAAATAAATATACAGCAGAGTGAATTGAAAGACAGGCTGATTTTCCAGGAGAGCTTCCATCATGAACAACTCTGGGAAGCCCATGTCTCTTCACTTCCTCCAGTCTCCTGCCACCCCAAACATTGCCTCCCACACAGCCTCCAACTTCACTCGGAGCTGTGGTAGCACAGTGGTTAGAATGCAGTATTGCAGGCTAAATCTGCCAACAGTTCAATCCTGACTGGTTGACTAAGCCTTCCATCCTTCCAAGAGGTCAGTAAAATGATTCAGATTCTTGGATTATTTTACTGACTCTGTAAACCGCTTAGAGAGAGCTGCAAAGCACTGTGGAGCAGTATATAAGTCTACTGCTATTGCCTTACACCGACAGTACTTTGCCTCACCATCTCGCTGCCCCCTTCCTGGCCAGGCCTGTCAGGCTCCCTTCCTCAGATGTCACTTTGCTACCCTGCTGCGTTCATCCTGAACATCCCAGGGCTGCATCACCACAGAACATCTGGATCCCAGGCCAGTAGCAGGAGGGAGACTGTAGGGGTGTGTGAGAGAATACAAAGGATCCAAAAGGGCAGAGATGAGGGGGGGACAAGTGTGTGTATGGGGGGGGGAATTCAAGCACCCCCTGCAGTTGAATTTTGATCATGTGACTGTGAGAGAATTGCAATGGCCATAACTACAGGGATCAGTCATTATAACTTCAAATAATCATTGAATGAATGGTCATAAATTGAGCACTACCTATAATCTGCTTCATTCTTGAAGTAAATGAGTATGGCTTCTCAGGTAGTGGTAGCCACCTAGAGCACGGATGTCAAAGCCACGGTCTCATATTGCCCTCATGTGACGTTTCACAGCGTTTTCCCCATTCGTGGTGCTGAGGTGGGCGTGGCCTGCACATGATGCATCTGGCCCACAGGCCGCCATTTCACACCCCTGGCATAGAGCAGGATCTGGAGTAAAGCATGGATCCTGATTTTTAGCTCACAAGGGTATTAAACTGCTTTTAATACTTGCATAGCTAATACCCTTTTACTTTGCTTTGAGCATATCTATGGCTGGACTAGAGTTTTTTTTTAAAGCATTCCAGAAAACAGCAGCAGCAGCGAACTGCTTCTGGAACATTGTCCAAAAGAGAGAGAGAGAGAGTCATGCTTGCTGTCACTCAGTTAACTCAGGAGCATTTTTCCCCCTTTTCAGAATCTAGACCAGAAAGAACATATAATAAATGGGACATTCGAATATAGTTTCTGTTCGGTGTGGGGTTACTAGTTTGTTCTGAGTAGTGGCTTTCCACAGTTACAACCTTTGCAGCATCCCCATGATTATGTGATCCAAATTCAGATGCTTGGCAATTGGTTCATACTTATAACAGTTGCAATGTCCCTGGGTTACGTGGTCACCTTTTGTGACCTTTTGACAAGCAAAGTCAATGGGAAAGCCAGATTCACTTAACAAGCGTGTTACTAACTTAATGGTTGCAGTGAGTCACTTTACAACTGAGGCAAGAAAGGTCATAAAATGGGGCAAAACTCACTTAACAAATGTCTCACTCAGGACAGAAATTTTGGGTTGAATTGTGGTCGTAAGTCAAAGACTATCTGTACAGTACTGATTTGTCCTGGCACTTGATAGCTATGGAACAACTACTCTGTATTGCTGTGGTGAAGATGGCATTTTAAGTTTTATCAACTAAGTGAAAATAACAAAACGTTTAATTTTCTTTTGAAACAAGAAAACTGCTGGGTTTTGTGCATTTACTGTAGTAGGAAATGGAATACAATATACGGTATCTTTCTCTAACAAAGATAGCTGTTGTTTGTTTCCTTTCTTCAGTTCTGCAGAGAGAACTGTTTTTACAGAATTTCAATGGCTAACTAAAACGCAGAGGATTAATCAACATTTTTAAATTGCTTAGAAGCCCTACCGGGACTATATGATACATCCTTGTAGCCTTGAGGCCTTGGTAGGGGAGGGGGTCCATGTTTGCTACCAAGGTCCCCGAGACCAGCTATGCTTAATCTCTTCTTGTAATCACGCTGCAGGTGCAACATAGCATATTCTGGCACAAAAGATATGCAGGCCATTATTCACTGGGAGCAATGATTGAGTTGCTGCATTTCTCTGTGTTTGCATCCATTAGAATAAAGATCTTGGGCCAGCTTAGTTCTGCCGTGTTTCATAAACGGCGGGATCAAATCACCTTGTAGATGCCAGCTCTGTTTGGCACAACTCAAACCATTAGCTGATCCTTCCCACCACCTCCATTGCCAGTAGTAAATAATTTCTCTCTCCATTAGTCAATAACAAAATTGACACATTTTGCAGGGTACTGCAGAGAAAGCAATACACGTTTCCTAGTTGAGTTTCAGTAACTACACACTTGCCTCCCCCTGCCCCTTTTTTAAAATTTTTGATTATTAAATCCATTTCCTTCTGTTAGCTGACAGTGCTGCATGTTATGGTTCCCCCCCCCCTTTTCAATTTAGAGAGATTGTGTTTGCACAGCACTTATCTCACAATCTGTCGTGCTCTGTTTTGTTTAGCACACACTTTAGATATTTTATTATAGCCTCTGTCTTAAGGCTTTTCTTTCCCAACCCTAATCCTGCTGCAGAATGTAAAATTCTAGGATAAAAATGCATGTACTTGTCTCATTCCAGAGATTTACCAATGAAGATCATCTGGCTGTTCATAAACTCAAGCATGAGATGACATTGAAATTCGGTCCTTCCAGAACAGATTCCGTCATCATAGCAGGTATGTGCCATGTTCCAGATCAATTTAAAGGGAAATGGTTTCTACAGCCTATTGTAAGATTGATAATAGGAGCTGGATGCTCTAGGTATTATTTGTTCCACCTGTTTTGCAGACTTCAGTTAATCAAGGGAAGGAGGGAGGGAGGGAGGGAGGGAGGGAAGGAAGGAAGGAAGGAAGGAAGGAAGGAAGGAAGGAAGGCAGGCAGGCAGGCAGGCAGGCAGGCTACTAAATATATCTCTGCCTTTTTATGTAATACAGAAGTGTCCGATGTTGTGCCTTAAATGTGAAAGATTTACAGTCCATTCTTTAACACGTCCTGTGTAATTTCAGGGTGACAAACCATAGTTGACAACCCAGCTTCCTTTTCTACTCCCAGGCGTCAGTTTTCTTAAGTGTTAGGTGATCACTTAATACATTTGAAACCTCACCTAGCACTTTGCTGGGAAGGCATTTACAAAGCCCAGACTAATCTCTCCTAATATGCACAGGTTTGAGGAAACTATTCCTGGCAGCAGGGCATGTAACATAGAGAAGTCTATCAATTGTATTGAGATCTTTTAAAAATAAGACTGACAGGCTACAGATCTTGTAAGAAATTGTCTTGGTTATAGTCTCAAATGGAGAAGAAAAATCATTCCAAGACATCTCTTTCTCCCATGTTGGCTGAGAACCGAGGTGGCGCAGTGGTTAAATGCAGCACTGCAGGCTACTTCAGCTGACTGCAGTTCTACAGTTCGGCTGTTCAAATCTCACCGGCTCAGGGTTGACGCAGCCTTCCATCCTTCCGAGGTGGGTGAAATGAGGACCCAGATTTTGGGGGCAATATGCTGACTCTGTAAACCGCTTAGAGAGGGTTGAGAGCCCTATGAAACGGTATATAAGTCTAACTGCTATTGCTATTGCTAGAACATAGAGAGTTGCAGTCTCGACATACCTGAAGAGTGCTAGATAGAGAAAAACAGTGTTAGTTAAACAGTTTTTTCCTTTAGGCAGGCTGTCCTTGCATATTTTGGTTCCTTCATCTGCATCCCTTAGAAAGGCACATCTGCGGTTTCTTCTGCTACTGCGGCTTTGACAGGGAAAAGTGCTTTCATTCTTGCTTAAAATAAAAATATTGAAAATTATTCTAACTATACTTGCAGCAAGTCGACACTAATAAGCCAATATTGTTTCCTCTGACAGGTACCCCGTTTCCCCAAAAATAAGACCCAGACAGAAAATAAGCCCTAGCATGATTTTTTCAGAATGCTCATAATATAAGCCCCATCCCCCAAAATAAGCCCCAGTTAAGATCATCAGACAGATGCATTTAGTACTATATTTCACCAAAAATAAGACCCAGACAGAAAATAAGCCTTGGTGCGTCTTTTGAAGCAAAAATAAATATAAGACCCAGTCTTATTTTTGAGGAAACACGGTAGACGTACTATAAGAACTGAAATCGAGGATTAATTCTTTTTGGGGGGGGGCATAATCTCCCTGGTCCTTTTTTAAAAATTTGTTTTGCTATAATCATTTTGAAGCATTATGTAAGAAGAACTACAACAGGTAGCCCTCAACGTATAACCATTATTGGGACTTTTTCCCTCTAACAGTGCAGTCATTAAGAGAGTCGCGCCCAATTTTATGGCCTTTTTGCCACAGCCATTAAGCAAATCCAGCTTCCCCCATAAGCTTTGCTTGTCGGAAGCTTCCTGGGAAGATTGCAAATAGCGATCACATGATCCCAGGATGCTGCAAATGTTGTGAATACATGCCAATTGCCAGGGGCCAAAATTTTTGATCATGTGACCTACAGGACATTGCAGTCATGAATACAAGGACCTGTTGTAAGTCATTTTTTTCAGTGCCTTCATAGCTTCAAATGGTCATTAAATGAATGGTTGTAAATCGGTTTTGTGGGGATTGCTAACCATACTTAGTCTGATCAATTTTTTAGTAAATTATAACAATAATAGAAAGCATGCTTTGAGGGCTTATTTTTTCCTGACATATGAAGGGATTGCTAGGCAAATAGAGCATATACTGTAGAAGAGGATAAGAGCATTGGGGATGGACAGTGCCCTTTAGCGCTTGCACCCAGTAAATACCTAATAGATCAATTACAAAAAATCTATATACATACATATAGTTCTTTAACACTGATGTCTACCAGGTTGTGTGTTGTGATACACACAGTGACTGTTTCACAGAATTGCCTGTCGTTGATTCCTATAGAACTACAGAAAAAACAATTGCTACCAACCTGCCTTCCATTGAGGACCTATATACTGCACGAGTCAAAAAGAGGGCTGTGAAAAAATCTACAGGCCCCTCACATCCTGAACATAAATTGTTTCAACTCCTACCCTCAAAACGACGTTATAAAG